TTCTCGGGATCCTTCAGCCACAGAAAACGCGTATAATCTTTTTCAGACTCTTGTAGATGAATTTGATGAAAGGCTTTTTCTATATCGGAAATTAATAGAATTTTTGGATTTCTTGCACGTAGTAGCATCCCTACGATATTTGGGATCATTGATGGTCCTGGGTACGTACAGTCATTAAGGGAGGGTCTCCCTTTCAAGTGAGCGCTTGCGTCATAGACAACTCGAAGTTTGGTTGTGTTTGATGTTTCTTTAATCACGCAAGCGTGTGGGATGTAATAGCATGGGCCGTAGCTCGCTGGTGCAATTTCAATAATTCCTTTTTCAATTTGTTCTTGAATTTGTTTGTGGTAGGTTTGCCTAATTGTTGCATTTTCCGGTTTCTGTAATTTTTGGCATAATGAATAAAGGCGCCGTTGCGCGATAGGTAGATTATTATGTAGTTCGGTTTTCTTTTCGTTCCATGGGAACTGTACAAAGATTTTCCCATCATCAATTTTAGCGTTTTTATAAAATTCTTCGACGATTTTTTTATTCAGTTCGGCTTGAGCGTCTTTTCCGGGGTTTTCTAGTATACCAATGGCATCTAGTTCCCAGATTTTTTCTTGTTCTTGAATTCTTGAAATCATATTTTTAGAGAGTTGTTCTTTTTTATCAGACACATAGATACCCGATATGATTTCTCCGAAAATTGTTTGTATCTTTTTCATTCCACTTGGAAGTGTGACTGCTTCATGACTTGTAAAGATGTTCCAGAATTGATCCATCCCAAGGATGATATCACATGGTGCAAATACCGATCCAGTGATGGTCTCTGGAATCGACAATTTCAATGGATCAATGTGCGGAATATCATCTGGTTCTATTTGTGCAATTTTATCTCCGTCAATATCTTCCATAACGCGAAGACGAATTTTGACTTCGTGTACGGTAGTTTGTAACGTAGCTTCGACAACTTCGGTTTCGATGTAACTTGTTCCTCCAAATCGGGTGATGCGCAATTTTTCTTTGTCAATAACTGGCAGTTTTAATTTATTTTGAAGACTTTGTGAGATGTATGACAGGGTAGAGCCAGTGTCAATAATGATGAATGTCGCTGTCATTGTGGGTAGCAGTTTGCTTTTTGCGTGAATTAATTGAGATCTTGCTTCTGTGTTTTTAACATGCAAGATCTTCGAAATCACGAAAAAACTGCTGGGTCTCGTTTTCTGCATTTTGAAAGCATTCATCATCGTGTTCGGAAAACACATATTCTTGAATTTCATCTTCCTGAAGAGCCGGATTGTTCTCTGGCGAGGTGTTTTGATCGGTGTCGATGATTGGGTCATTATCTGTTGAAGCATTGTTACATTCCGCGTTTGCCAGATTCATACGCCCATTGTTGGGACGATATGGCTGACGATTTTGAACGTAGTTGTTTTGTTGATAGGTTTGATTATTTCGCGGCTGGAATTTTTGGTAATTATTTTGGGGCACATAGGGCCCGTTGAACGTGTTCATTCGATTTTGGAAGTTTTGACCGTACTGGTTATTGAAACGATTATTGTTGAATGGGCGTTGCATAGCACCGTTCTGGAAATTAATATTTCCTTGGGTATTTTGAGGGGGGTTAACCTGAGCTGGTTTTTGGGTACCCGGCACTGGGTTCTGGGGTGATGGTGTCGTAGGTGCCTGGGTCGTGGTATTCTGTGTGGGATCTGGAAACTGTTTGTAACCCAATTTTCCACACAACTGCGGGTGGTGTGCATTTCCGCATTTATAGCATTTTTCGGTGCATTCGTGGCTGCGATGGTCATCTTCGAAGCAGACCAAGCACGCTTTTTGGCTGATGAGAATGCGTTTCACCTCTCCGATGGAGAGTTTGGAGAGCATGTGACAGGTTTTTGGTCGGTGACCGACACGGTGGCAGAATAGACAGGTTCTATTGGCTGCCATTGCTTGGTAGCGCTCGGTGGTCTGATTGCTGATTTCTTGCAGACAGGTGATGCGGTTCTGCAATTCATGGATCAACCTTTCAGTACTCCATTCAATGCCTTCCTTGTATTCATCCGAAATCACTTCCGTGATTAGTTTGATGGGAAATTTGTTTTTTATCATTGTACGGAAGTGGCAAGTCTCGATGTTTTCGACTGCTCTGATCCGAGTCGTGAATGCCCTGATTTTTAGGATCGTCGTTTTCATGCTTTTCGGATCAGTTGTGGCAGCTGGTAGAGAGTTGAGCTCCGAGTTGAGTGCTTGCTTTTTGCGGAGTGGATTGTTGTACGTATCGTGCAATAGCTGGAGGGCTAAAGTGTAGTTCTGACCGGTGGTAGGGAATGAATCCACTACCAAATGCGCTTCCTTAGATGTGAATTTTTTCAGAATGGCAAACTTGTGAACATCATCATATGGTTGACTGTGAATCAACTCGTTGAATAGTTGCCAGAATTCGTCGTACTTGGCCAGATTTCCATCGAATGTGGGGAGATTCACTTCCAGAGTTTGTTTTGGGAGATGAATTCCTTTTGGCGAATAAAATGATGGCCTGTTGTGCATCGGCGTATTTGGTGATTTGTACATCTGGGACATGGGTGTTTCCACCACAGGCATAGGCACGTTCCTTTGGGTGAATTTGGTTGAGGTAAAATTCGAATTTTGTGTTTGCATATTTGGAATTTGGAATTTTTGGTGGGTATTGTCGAATTTCGGGATCGCATTATTGGTCCTGTCCTCGCGAACGACGGACAGCGTGGACTGACTATTTTGTCTGATAATGGCCAGTTGTTGTTGCATTGCACGTTCAGCGTGATTGGTTCCAGTGACTTGGTCGATTTTTGCACGACAAAGGTCATGGAGTTCTTGCATTTTAGTAACGACCGGAATGATCGTATCGAAAATGTACTCTTCGAAATTTTGCTGATAATGCTTCATGACCTCCGTATACTCTTCAGAAATTTTGTTGAATTCGACATCTTGGGTCTTGATTTTGCCGATGGTTGATTCGAGAAGTTGAGTATATTCGTCTGGGCTAACGTTTAGCTGTTCAAATTCCGTATTGAGGATCCATTCGGTGTTGGGAATGAATTCCTTGTTCAGATTGTTGATGAACATCGTTAAACGTCTTTTGACGAGTTGGATGCCGGTGGGAATTTTGTACTGATTTTTGGTCAATTCAATTTTCTCTCGGTCCTCAGCCGTGGGTTGGTCCTCAGCCATATTTTGGTTTTCGCACAGCAAATCGTAACGATTGCCGAAACGGAAAGGTGTGGTCGAGCACGTGGGCTCTTGTGGGCGATTTCCGGGATTCCCCATAGGGTTCACCCATCCATCTTGTGGGCGATATCCGGAGCTACCCGAAAGAGTAGTCCTTCCATCTTTTGGGCGGTACAGGCCAACTCCTTACGGAGAGGCACGGCCGGGGCGGTACTGGCCACTCCCCAAAGGGAGGGCACTGCCGGGTCGGTACTGGCCACTTCCCGAAGGAAGGGCACTGCCGGGGCGGTTCTGACCAACTCCTTGCGGAGAGGTACTGCCGAGAAAGTCGGAGAGAAGGTCGGGGACGGGGACGGATTGGGACATTAAGGGAACGCTATGGACGGGCAGATCACGACTCTGGTGTTGCATCACGTCACAAACACGGATCGAACCGTTTAGGGACTAAAACTGGGGACAGTAGCGAAAAGAAGGCGGGCACACTGACTCTGGTGTTGCTCAACGCCAAAATGAACTGGGGGAAAAGGGCCAGTGATCCGCTCGGGGCACCACTTTGTCACGACTGTGACAAGAATTTGCGCCTCGATAGCCTGGGAGAGCAAACGACTGGGACAGGGGATACACAGTTTATTCCAGACTCCCGGTGGGGTAGTCTGTTACAATAAACGACAAAACGGGGAAACGGAATAAGGCAAAGGCGATGGCGATGAAGGCGAGCACGAATAAGGCGTAGAAGAAGGCCGGGAATCAGACGTAGCTTCGCGGTGGCGAACAGCTAGCCGGAGCCCGGGAAGACGGAGATGGAGAAGTCGACTGGACACGACTCTCGACTTGAAGAGAGGCAGAAGACGGGCGTTTATATAGTCGGGAACGGAGGGAATACAGGGTCGCCTTCCGGATGCCGCGGAACCGCATGCAAAGTGGACATGCGAACGTCGGTGGACGAGGGCTTGTACTTGAACACGATGTTGTGGCCCTGGATCTCGGAGACGCCCATAGAGAAGGAGAAGGCGAACACGGTCCATCAGCACGGCTCTGCTGGCTTCTGAGGATGGCCGGCAAGAAGGAGAAGGCTGCTCGTAGCAGCGTATTGTATTGAGTTGTAGGTTTTTGGGGAATTTGTAAGGTTAGGTAACCGTGAACGTCACGGGGACGTGACATCAGTCGTTAAAAAACAAAACCATCGGCTGGTCATCTTGTATAACCATAAAGTGATCATCATTTTCGGCGCTTTCACCTTTTTTGGTCGGAATTTCATCAGTGCCATCGGATAGAGCGTCGGAAATTATACTAAGGGATTCAATTTCAATCGGAAATTCCACAATTTAAAATTATTACTTTATTAGGCTAAAAAGTTTAAGCAACTAAAAATCTGTATCCATCCGATGGGATTTTCAAAATAGCAGGATATTCTTCATAAATACAAAAATTGTTTCCACCCCCCGTTAATTGTTCCCTACCCGTTAAGCTACCTTTAGCCGGTTTTGCCAACTACGCCTGTGGCGGCAAATTTACCAAATCGTGACCCATAAACAATTTATTTAATTTTTTCCAGAATTTCCGTCGTTTTCCAGGTTGGTTTGGTGTTGCTTGCAGAGTTGGGGGGCCCAGCACGCCACTGCCGACCCCTTATCTGCCGTGCGTTGCGGTTCCGTATTTTCTTCTGCAAGAGAATGTCAGCTTGGGTCACCCCTGGCCCCGCCACACGCATCGCCCACCATTGTTTTGTTTCATACATTCCCTTTGCAATTATTCTTGAAAATTACAGGTGCGTGCTTTTCAGCGCAGCTCTCCCGTCTCCATTACCCCGAATGGGCGCATCGGAAAGCAAAGTGTCCGTTCTTAACGGGACCGGACAGACGATTCGTGTTCGTGTCGATTGCTCGCGAAGCTTCACAAAATGCCTCGCCATTGAGACGAGCGCCAAGCTGAAAAGTGCGCAAGGTAGCTTTGCATTATATTCCACAAAAAAATCGCTTACTCCACTGTCTTTCTGGCTGTCTTATTTTTTGACTGGGGGAGGTACAAAAACCCAGCAAATGGCTTACTGTAACCCTCTTATGTTGACCGTGGGATTTCGTTATGGGAGATAGCACATCTTGTGCAAAATTGTTCGCTGATTCCGAATCCGTTTTCAAAAGTTGCGGAACCCCTCGGAAAACAGGTTAAAAATCGAATTTAAATTTGGGCGAATCTGGTCCATCGCGCCCCTGGGGGGTTCAAAGAGGCTCCCCACCGCCAGCCCCCCCGGCAACTCGACGGTACAATGGTTCGCGCTGGTTTCTTGTGCATGCTGTCACTGGTTCGACCCCTGCCGCGGTCACCTTTTTTGCTTTTGCATTTTTTTTATCGGAAACTAGTGTGACGCCATTCCGCAACACTGTGATTTTCCAATTTTTACATTATACAATTTTTTACATCGTTTTGTACAATTTCCTTTTCTAAATTGCTTTATGCGAACGAAGAACGAGCAGTTTATGCCATCGGGAACTACAAATTGGCTTGCGTTGGCGAGAATAACTTGCGCCGTGGTGTTGGTGTGAATCTTTATCTATTGTTATAAGAAAATAGCAAAAGAAATTGTAAAAACGATATGACAGTGTTGCGGAACAGCGTCACACTAGTTTCCGATAAAAAAAATGCAAAAGCAAAAAAAGCGACCGCGGCAGGGGTCGAACCAATGACAGCATGCTCAAGAAACCAGCGCCTAACCATTGTACCGTCGAGTTGCTGGGGGGTTGGCGGTAGGGAGCCTCTTTGAACCCCCCAAGGGGGCGATGGACCAGATTCGCCCGAATTTAAATTCGATTTTTAACCTGTTTTCCGAGGGGTTCCGCAACTTTTGAAAACGGATTCGGAATCAGCGAACAATTTTGCACAAGATGTGCTATCTCCCATAACGAAATCCCACGGTCAACATCCACGGTTACAGTTAGCACAACCATGGATATGGTAGAATCGGTTACGGGGGATTTCGATTTTCGAAAAATTTGCAAAAAATTCTGTCAATTTTGTCCAAAAACCAAAATTTCTGCATCACGGCATAGTCGAACCAGGGGCCACTGGCTCCCGAGACCAGTTTCTTGCCAGTTTGTTAGCCACCACACCACTCGACAGGCGGTACCTCTCCTTTGGAACAGGCGGATCGTAAGCTTATCGTTAGCGGGTAAGACTTGAGACGCTCATAAATTTATTAGCGTTTTGTAAATTCTATTGTTTCACTATACAATAGTGAGACGATTTTGCGTTGATGTCAGGAGTCATGAAATCATAACGGCCCTTCTTCATTGAACATTTTTGTGCCCAATTTGAAAGGCCAGGACGCCAAAACCTTTACAAATCCATTCATTCAGGCAAATTTTTAGGGAGTGTCAAATGTGAAGAGCAATACGACGTGTTTCACATCGTCGACACACATCCCTCATTCACCATTCTTGCTACAGGAGCTGAGACCGTTTTCGAACTTCCCGCTGACGATAATGATTTCGCCTTCCTGACAGTTTGGCGCGAGAATGCCGACGGTTCGTGGTCAGTCCAAGCCGAGAACCATCCCATCATGACCCTCGGCGCTGTGATGGTCTCCGACAATATTTTCGCCGAACAAGCCAGACATATGAAAGACGCTATTGCCAACATTGGTCCGATCAAGGAGGCGAAAGCCGGTCGGATTGTTGTGTTCAACAACTGCTCCAAGAAGATTTGGGTACGCGTTGATGCGGACGGGATCGAGAAAACGAAGACCACGTACGCCCAATCGGTTGGCGGCTGCGGCCGAGGTCGGTGCCAATCCATTCAAATTTTTTCCCTTCAAATCCAAATTTTCATAGTTTTTTATTGATGTCCCAGAGAAACGGGAGAAACCTTCAAAAATGCTATAAAAAATTCAAGGTTGGTTTCGTGCAGAAATTTTTGGGTGCGTGCGGATTTATAGAGGGAAAGACGGTTTTCTAGTCGTTGAAAAACCGTTCGGCATTTTTAGAGCATGCATTGAAGTACTCGACGGAGAGGAAGGTGTACTACCGAGCCGAGCAGGGAAAAGGCTACACCCTTGTATGCACGAATGGCGCGACTGTCTTCTATCTGGACTCGCGGGCGCAGAGGGTTTTCTACCTGTCGATCGACTTCGAGACACCTTGTGAGTCCGATGGATATGTTGCAATTTCGAAATGTTTTTTTTCGAATTCTGAAGCCAAAAGGCGGCGAATTTAGAATTTTTTGGAAAAGCTTGATTCATTGTATGGCTGTTATTCTTCAAATCAAATCCGAAATTGGGTAAAACTAACTCTAACTAACTAAAGCTCTATTTCGGTAATAAAATTATTTGTATTTAGCGGGTAAGTTGGCTACTCACTGCGTCAGCCACGCTCTCCGATCGTTCGACGCCAAGCAAGTGACGAGTCCCTGGAAAGGCGTGGGCAATATGTCACATCCGGTCAATGATTATCACACCCCTTACGTCTTTGTGAGCGACGAGAACAGCACCGGTGGAGTCAAGTTCGAGTGTCGACTCGAGCAGCCCTTAACGCAACAAGGTAATTTTTTTACTCTCTTTTTCGCAACATTCGTTTTTAGGTGGCCTTTGACCAAACTGACAATCCCGGATATGTATGCACTTTCTCGAGAAATAAATTTTGTGATGCTGGGAAAAAAGACGGCATCACGGAAAAAAAGCATGGTAGGGAGCACCGTATTGCTAAAAAACCTTGGACGGACCAGAAGTGAAATACCGCTTCTCGTCCTTTTGGCCCGTCTGACTCACTGACAGTCTGAAATTTGCCCATGTTCCTCTAAATGCCGACGGCGAGAAAAATATGAAAATCACGCGGATATCCCTCCAGAAAAAGTTTATTTTCATCATTTGATTGAAATCAAAATTTGAGCACTAAAATAAAATATTCCGCCAGTTTCGATGTTGTCATTGTGTTCCCCCTTAGTAGAATTGACCTAGACGCAGAATTTGATAAAGGAAATATGTTGTTCCAACACCGAACGATTTCCCGAGGAGAGATCTTCTCTGCCTCTATTGTACGTGTTATTTGATGTTGATGTAACCTCCAAAAATCTGCATATTTTATGGAATGGCAACGGCAATTATATGTACACAAATTCGAAGTGAATGTCGACTCGTAGCGAAGAAAATATTATGGCTAAGCAATGTAGAATTGAAATTAGGACATGGCTCTTCTGAGGATCGAGGCTGTCGCATCAGTTTGATGGCGCTTCGTTTGGTAGATGGTTTCGATGAGGTTGACGACCAGACGCTCGCTAAAAGGGACATACTAACCGTTTTAAGGAAAATTTTGCAGTAATTTTGAAGTTTCAATTAAATTATGACGCGCTTTAAAACATACCTAGTCTTGTGCTCATCATCAAACCGTGGGAGGAATTCAACAATTTCGGTGGCGACGAGCCCGCGGAGGTCTAGGGACAGGAGCGATTGGAGGAAGTCACCTGCTCGGATTCCGCCTGAAAAATTTCTTATTAGGGTTGCCTTAATGTTTTTGCATGCTTTCCATTAATAAAACCTTTAAAATACTATGTTACAGCAAATCTTGGTTTTATTAAATGAATATACCTTTTTCTGGGGTACCAACCGCCGGGGCGTCCACCACATCAAATCCGTCGATGTCGATCGACATCCCGAAGGCGGAGGTTTGTCTGAAAAGTGATGTAATGTATATTTCTACGCTTTACACAATTTTCTACTTAGTTCCACGTATTTGTCTATATTCCTGATTGTTCTTGTTCATCCTTCATTGTTCGGAAACTTTATATCTTTAAAAAACGCCCCCATCACCTCCTCCTAACCTACTCCTAATGATTGATGAGTCTATTTTTAAAGATCCCCGCTCCCTTGCAGTCCTATAGACGGGCAAAAAATCTTTCCCAGTTTTTGCGGGCCGGCTGGAATCCTTCTCATCATTTGGATATCCGCAAAATCCATAACATCACCCGATCGCAAAGCCACGCGCCCCCGCGATCAAATGGTGAAAAAATCAGAGATTTGGGTTGTTTGTTTCAGGATTTGAGGGTTGTACCCGGGCTTGGCAACGTATTGGGTCCAAAAATTGGTTTTATAGGCACTGTCATGCCCCGAAAATCGACCCCTACCGTTCACTAGCTGTCGACGGCTACGTCATGCATCAAATGACTTACTAGGGAGCTATCTGAACTCGGCATCGAACTTCGACAAGCCGGATACACGATTCGAATGGATTCCAAATATGTAATAAAGCAGCGGTAAACGACCGGGCGCCTAACGGTAAAAAGTTATGAGCATTTTAAGTTTTGCGCCGAACAACGCCGCTGCCATATGAGCCCCTCCCAGCAAAAGTCTGCGGCAAACTGGCCATACCCTACCCTTACACTGCATTCCAAAAATATTTTTTGTGGAAGTTTTTGTCAACCGTATGTAACTCACAGCTCACTTGAAAGAGCTTTCTTTGTTGAACAAGGAGCATTATTCAGTCTAGACATTCCATTCCGCGGGATAATACAGGGTCTCAAGATACTGCTTTTCACCATTTTGCCGATTTTGAATGCTCCTAACTTTTTACCGTTATGCGCTTTGGTTGATTTTATTACCGATTCGAAATCCCCTCGACAAGGTGCATCGAATGGTGTATCTGACTTCTCAAAGTTCGGTGCCGAGTTCAGATACCTCCCTAGTTAGTCAAACTTTTTTTTTAAACTTGAATTGATGGCTAACGTTGTCATCATTGGACCTGTATCATAGCATCACTGGTTCAAGCACAGTTTTTAAAGGTACGGAAAATCCCGAAATTCAACCCTACGATCGCTAGGTATCGGCAACTACGCGAAGCTCCAAATGACGGTATCAAGGTATCAAGGCTACGCTATTGTCTATATTACGGCATGCCATTTCTGATTTCTGCTCTCATCATAGGGATCCGACCCTTGATCCGACCGAAAAACAATTTGCCTTTATCCCGATTTTTCCATCTCGATCCCAGCATTGGGGATCTTTTTCTTGTATCCCCAGCCCCAGTAGAGATCCATCAAACGAAAAACGCCTTTATTCCCCTGACCGTATCACCAAAGGATGGGACGATCAAAAAGTGTCAGAGAGCGTGGCCCGGAATGGAACGGAAATCTCGTCATGATATTGTACATTTTTCTGACCGCTTGAAAATTGTCGGAATAATTATGAATTTGGAAGTCTTGAAAAAGCGAAACAGTCAGTCAGAAAAGACTAAATTCAAATAAAAAACTTTTCTCAGTAAAGGTGTGTTCGAGATTTTCCAAATTATCTGTCTCCTTCTCCTGGCAAAAACCTTATTAAGATTCTTGGTTAATTTATCTAAAGGGGATGTTTGAAAATTTACTTCTTTAGTTTTGCAACGTCTTTTAGTTTTAGTAAAGGCAGTTGTCGATGTTCCGTCATTCTCAACATTTTTTTGATCTGATGTCAACGAAATTCGCTCTCCTGGGTTCATCTCGCGGTCCCGCCACAATTTTCTTATCTCGATTCCGTTCCATTTTTTGTTCTACGATTTCCCTTGTGATAACATCCATCAACAAGATACCGAAATCGTCTCGGGGACCAAAAAGTCGCTGTGGGGATAGTGATTGGGGCGCAATTGGGAGGAAATCGAAAGATTTTGAGCCCGGAAATGGGATAGCTGGAAGGGATAGCGATCAAAAAGCTACTCGGGTGGAGAGATCTTTGGTGAAACGGCTTTAGCGTACTGTAGACAAAAAAGAATTCATTTTTCATCTTAAGTTGATTTTTCAGATTCGGAAGATTTTTGCGTTTTCCTTTAAAACTTCGGTAAAGCCAGGACGCTACGAAAAGCTCCTCAAAAAGTACCGAGTAACGTGGTGTAGCGCCTCCTGCATGACATCCTGGATTCCTCTCCTCTCCACTTCTTCCATGAAGAATACTCGGACGCCGAGACGATCGAGGAGCTCCTGCTCAGCCCGCTCGAAGCTTCGGATTCCGACGAGGCACAGATTTTCGGGTTTCAGCTTTGGAAGGTCGTCACCTGAAAAATTGAAGTTAACTTAGATTAAAAAATCATGCTTAAAAAGCTTTAAAACAGAAAAAGTAAGAAAAAAAGACAATTTTTCAATTTTTTTTCCGCATTTTGTAATTTTTTTTAATGCGTTTTAACTCACCAATAGTCGACAAATTCCGGTCGCCAAAGCCGAGCAGATGCGCGACGGGCATCCCGTGAATATTTCCTGTAGGGGAACTGTCTGGGGTATGCGCATCCATATGAGCATCAACCCAGATGAGGCCGACATCGCCGTGGTTACGCATGGCTGACGCCACGCCACTCCAAGTGCCGATAGCGGATGAGTGATCTCCAGCTACGACCAGAACTTCTCCCTCTCGCCGTAGAGCTGCGGCGGTTTCTTGGGCGAGGTCGCGCATCGTCTGAAAAGGGTTAAATTAAATAAAACAAATTTTGGAAATATGAAGCAAAAATAGTGTAAATTTTGGAAAATTGGCGATACTTTAAATTTGACGTTATAATGATTTTAAATGCTGACCTGCGCAACGCCAGGTAGTGCCTGTAGATGTCTTCCAGAATCGACCTCCTTCACCAGCGCCTGCCACCTCATCGGAATCCGGCACTGGTCCATGTGGACAGACTTCTTCAGGACAGCTGCGGCAGATTCGCATCCCAGTTGTCGGCCGGCCAGTCCGTTGGCACAGCCAACGACGCTGAGCTGTTGCATAAGACGTTTCGCGGTGACGCGCATTATTTAGGGTCTTCTGGAATTAGAATTTTTAATGGCTAAGCTTACGGTTTTACGTTTCCGAGTCCAGGAAACGATCTAGAGAGCGAAAGAGAGAGAGAGAGAGAGAGAGAGAGAGAGAGAGAAAGCAAGCGAAAGAGTGATAGAGCAAGCGAAAAAGTATTCCCTGCTGAATCAGAATTTTCGTTGCTCATAGACAGAAAATGATTCAGAATTCGAGTTAAACGCTCGAGGGCTAAAATGAAGAGGTAGCGAGGAGCCTGAAAAATTCCTGAAGTACACCCCGGGACCTTTAAAGACCACCCAGATGTTTTTTGGTCTGCGTTGGTCTTTGGTCTTTCCATGATGTGATCTTCAAAGATCCAGCCAGGTAGGGGATCCCCCAAATAGCCCCTGGGGTAACCATCGGGGTAGTGGATAGGGTGAGGTCACGTGGTCTCATTATCTGCTCGCTCACTAGATGGAAAGACCAGACTACATTTTAGCCAGAAATGGAGTTTTTGAAAAGCTACAGTAGCTAAATCTTCATAAATGCCTTAAGACTGTCAAGGAACCCGAAAAATCACAAATTTTCCAATAACAAACAATTCATCAGAATTAGCAAAAATAAAAGATTCGGTGCTATTTTATGCAATAATTATATTAGCTAACCTACTACAAAATTACAAACGAAAATCGGCTAAAAAAGCCATCTAAAATCGTGTATTTGACTTCATTAGAAAAATTTAATTTTAACTTTCAGTTCTGCTACTTATGTCTCACAAAATTTTGACCTTTTAAAGTATCTTTTATCAGCAGGTTCTAATATTACTGTAACAAGGACGATAACGCACCCGAAAAGTGAGGTCACGTGGCGGGGATTCCCCCCTTTATAGGGGGCGGTCCCTCCCTCTTCCCCCCGGCTACCGTATCTGTCAATGAAATGCACCACGACTCGGGCAAGATCAAACAATCATCTCTCTCTCTCTCTCTCTCATTCTCTCTCACTTGTCTCTCTCTCTCTCTATCACCCAGCTGCCCCATCTCCAGCAGTACCGCCCGCTATTTTGGGGCAGAAAGGTGTCATCCCATCGGTACGCAGGGATACTGGTTCCACGCTTCTTTGAAAATCAAAACAAATAACAAATGATCAGCGGATGTTTTTCAACTTTTAATTTTGGGGGCAATTAGAGAGAAATAGAGCGAGCGAGAAAGAGAGCGAGGGGGAGAGAGAGAGAGAGCGAGAGAGAGCCAGCAAAATACATGGAATAGTACAATAGAGGTCATCGAAATATCAGATTTCACAAAAATTGCAGGGCGCAAATTTCTAAATTCAGGCCTGTATTCGATTATTGATTTCGAAAACGTAGAAGCGTTTGTTCTTTTCTGGCGGAAACTGGTTCGAAAATTATCTCTGCTAGCAAGCGCTGCGTTTTGCTTGCCGCCCTGGTATATTCCGTAACGATCTCTGTAACGTAACGATTAGAGCTGTTGCGGTGATTCTTGGATTTTAGTGAAGCTAGACTACATTTTTATATATAAGATTTTGAACGATTACCTGTTTTTCACTTTTTCAAGAATTTCTGCTAGCTTGCCGTCTCCATTACTTGCGGATGCTGCTAATCGATCAATTTGTCTAAAGCTTGACGCTTTACTTGGCTCGTTTCAAGCTTTTTATAACTGTTTGAGTCGAAAATCTCCCTGTAACTATCCCTTTAAAACCGACAACAGCGTATTTTCGATGTTTTGCGCACGCTAATCTCAAATTCGTTGGTGTCACGAGGTGGGGGATACCCCCAGGCGAGTGACTCCCGCTCCCCCTTATGTGGAGAGGGACAGGTTCTAAACATTCGATGGCCAGGAGGTGGAGGGGAAATTGAGATGATTGATGGGCTACGGTAGACTGGGGTGACTTTTAGCATTTGATGCCCCGTGCAGCATGACGACATTCGTGCAGCTTTTGGTAAACAACAGGAGAATTTGGATTGCGTCAGGGTTGAAAGCCTAAACGTTAAATCCCAAAAAAAAGTCGTTGAATTAAAAACCAAAAATGGAATATTGCAGCTAAATTGAATGCTAAAAATTCATTAAGGGGCGGGCAAAGCACGAATATTCGGGTTTTTTAGCCATGGTAACTTTGCTGATTTTTCCAAGCCGCGACACGGAACGCGTTTCTTCATTTGCGTAGCGACGCGTCGCGGAGGGCAGAAAATCTTTAGATTGCGGTTCCAATCACCCATAAAAATGCATTGCATGTCCCTTTAATCACAAATTAAAATTTAAATTAGTTTTGAAGCATAGCGTCGCCGAGATCAGGGCAAGCTAGCATATATCTTTGCGGTAAAGTGAGACTTCCTAGAGAAAATTGGAGATTGTAACTTTGACCTCCCGGGTCACGGTGCTTTCTGCGACAATAATTTCTAGTAAGCACTTGAACAAGGGAGGATAACACTTTAAAGCGGCTAGGAAGCGCGATAATTCCCCATTCGACGACTAGGTGTCGACAGCTACGCGATGCTGCAAATGACGCAGGCAAATGGCTTTGATAATACCAAATGCTGGTGGAATGAGGCTGCCAAGCCAGCGTCAGCGTGTCATTTTGAATCTCGCGTAGCTGTCGAGACCTAGTCGACGGAGAAGGTCGAATATTAGTAATTGTTCTAAACCCTTTAGAAATCAGAAATGCTGAAAAATTCAAAGCAGCACAAATGAAGCGTGCCCCAGAAATTCCCGTATGTTTCTAACCATTTCATCACGATAATCCGTCCCGTTTTGGTCAGAACATCTTTTGATCTCCACTGCCCACCTCGCCATCTCTCGATCAAAACATCAGCCCTGACTTTCTGCGGGTATCCGAGACATTTTATGGATATCGGCTCACGTGGCGGTGCTGAAACAAAGACACTTTTCCCACCTAAAGGATGTCCCTGAAATCCACACCGGAAAGCTCGCAGATTGCAAAATATTTTGCACCATCAGCGCGTGGAGATTCGTAATCGCCGGAAATTTCATCATTGGCAGGGTTAGGAATTGGAAAAATGAAACCTTAAAAAATGGTGGTGCGGTTTCGATCTGTCGAGACCAGGCCCGTAAGAGGGGGGGGGGGGGGGCGAGGGGGGCGAGCCGCCCCCCCGAAATCGGCCGGAGGCCGAAAAGTTCATAAGGGGGGACCCTTATGATTTAATTTTTCCAAAAAATTTTTTGCCTGCGGCGCTGTTTTTGTCTATTTTTAACACTAGTTTTACTGTTATAAACCTTTTGTTTTCAAAAATTTTGCCTGCGGCGCTGTAGTTTTAGTCATATTAGTGAAAAATTTTTGGGGTCGCCCGCCCCCCCCGAAATTTGGGTTTGTTACGGCCCTGGTCGAGACCTAGTCAACGTGAAGGGACGATTTTGGCGTTTGCTAGTACTGCTTAAAGGAGCAGAGAAGTGTCAAAAATTGGGTTATGCCCCGAGAAGCGTAGTTCTGTAGCTGTAAGACCTCTGTTATTAAAAGAATAAACAGAAGAGAAAAAGTACATAGATTTCTGGCACTTTGCCGTAAAGTGTTTTTTACTCAACTTGGAGTTTCGTGTAGGGACGTGGCCCATCTTGTGCAAAATTTTTCGCTGATTCCGAATCCGTCTTTCCCAATTTGATTTTGGACTTTGATTTTAAAGGATATACGGCAATTTTGATAGGGCTTTTCACCAAAAATGATGGGAATGAGCCCAAAAATTCTGGATAAGCTAGGTTTGGTCCGATTTCGAAATCGCACCCTTCAGCTTGAATTCAGAATACCTGTTTGAACCGACTGAAACTAGCATTCACAATTGCAACAATTTGCATAAAGCGGAAGCCGAATGTTGAAGACAGCAAACTCGGCCACTTTGCAATCATTTCTACATGATGCCTGCCCGTTATTCGGTGCTTCTGATGGTGGCCCTGCTCGCCGTCCACCACCTCGGCTTCTCCGATGCCACCATCTGCCATCTCTGTTCTACTTCCGAACTGCCGGAAGGCGATCGGTTAGTCAAACTGCGCCAAAATCGCTGTCATGGACTGTTAGTGGCGGCGGGGGGAAGGCAAATTTTCCCTGTGATTTTCTACGGCCCTATATCAAAAGATAATCCAGCCTTATAGCTTTACACATAGTTTTTATATATAAAAAATAACAAAAATTTCGCACATTTTTTACCTTTTTGCTCAAAATAAAAAATAACCAAAGAAGGTCAACATTTTCGAATTTTCCAAATTTTTAAAAATATTTTTCATCACTTTCTAGCAAATAAAGTATTAGAAACACTGTAAAGATACATTATACAGGGTGTATAAAAAAAACCCTCGGCATCTGGACGTCTTCAATCGGATAAGGGCCCATAACAACTATGTGCAGCACAATTTTCTAACAAAAATATTGTAAAACAAAAAAGTTATCGCTAAAAAAACTGAGTTTCGGAACAGCTGGAACTCATTTTTGGCTATGTGTGTGCAATTAGCAGGCAGATTTTGAGTAATCTGCCAAAAATCGGTCATTTTCGGGTCGGTTTCAACCTGTTAACAAGTGCCCCCCCCCGCTAACAGTCCAGAACCAATATTGCTGCACGTTTCCATTGCAGCAACGATCTCAAACATCGTGGGGCCGCGGTGCCATCGCCCCACCCCGACTGCGGAAACCCCGGCAAGGTTCGCTAAATGTTTATAATTGAATATTTTAAATCACCGTATTTGCTCAAGAATCGCCTCAAAAATTGCGTGTAAGTTTCAAAGAAATACCCTGTTTGGGTTTTTTCGGTGATCCTAGGTGGTTTTAAGCAATTTGAACTACTCAAAATCGTTGTATTTGCTCCATTTTTGAACTTTTTCGTACCGGTCCAAAAAAAATCTAAAAAAATTAAAAAATCTAAGTCTAGAAATTTTTTGTATAAGTCTAGAAATTTTGAAATTTTGATAATAAACAACCTATCTTGGTAGAAAAATGAATACCCTTGATGTTTGATCATAAAAATTTGTAAAGTTTGCACGTTTAGGAATAGTAAAATTTAATTTAGAAACACCGCCACTAATTAGATTTGAAAAATGAGCGCCTAAAAAATCTCTTGCACTTCTCGTGGTATTTCGGCGAAACCTCCTTTCGTTATTGGCCTATGTTGCAAATGCAGCCCCTACTTTTTCAGGATGTGCCGACCTGTGAGGAGGCGGGCAAGCCGGGCAAATGCATGGCCATGATAGTCAATGAAAACGGCCAGACGATGCTGATGAGGCTGTGCCCCGGCGGTGGCAAGTTTAAGGCGGTCCACGAGGCTAAAAAAGGAGGTACGTGCTTTTGTTACGGTGGTTCTGGACTGTTAGCGGGGGGGACAAATTTTCCCTGTGATTCTCTACGGCCCTATAACAAATTATAGACCATTTTTATAGCATTTCACACAGTTTTTAGATATCAAAACACTATAAGCAAATAATGTATGAAGAATGACCAAAAAACGGGAAAATTTTCGGATTTCCGAAAACTAAAAAAATATTTTTTATAACTTTTTTAGCAATCAAAAACTACTGAAAAGAACTATAAGAATAAATGATATAACATCAACAGGTAGAAATGGTATAAGTGGAAAAACAGGAAGTGTTCCCCCCCCCCCGCCGGCTAACAGTCCAGAACGGTTGCAGATGCAAACAGTGTTTTTTTAGCGGAGCTGTGGGCTGCGGTATGCGACACGGATCTGTGCAACAACTGGGATGCGGCCGGGATCAAGGCGAAGGCGTCCACCTCGTCCATCTCGTACCTCATCGCCATCACCATCGTCGTCGCCAAGTTCATCGCCATGCACTAGAAACTTTTCCCTCGCATGTGATTTTCTATTTACAATTGAGAATAAAGGGTCGCCAAGTTGCTGGCTGACAGCCATCAGCACTTCGGTCGCTCGGCTTCAAACTCAGGACAACTTCTCTTTTGGGGTGACGGTGTCGATTTTTGAACGGCGTGAATTCGAGGAATCTCAATTGGGTTCTTTCGCATTATCGGGCGGGGGGGGGCTTTTGGAAACTCTAGAAATTTCTAGAAATCTAGTGAAGAGTATTTTCTTTGTGCTTTTAGTAGAAAATAACTATGTTTAAACTAGAAAAACGCCTTCAAAACCATTTTAAAACTCGGCCATCTTTGGCCGAAAAATTATATTTTTGTATTTTTTTTAATAAAAACGTATAAAGTTTTTAGGCTGAGGAATAAGAAAAAAGCGTTTAAGAACACCTCCGCTCGTTTTATTTGAAAAGCGGCTTCCTACAAGACAGCCCCTTCGCCCACCGATAATGCAAAAGAACCATTTTCGGCGCACCGTAATTTGCATAATGCTAGTCACGATTGCAGGGTTTGATTTGATTGTTTGATTACAAAATGTGGGTTATGCCTTTTCGTCATTTTTCCAAAATGTCAGCCCGGCATCCGGTGCTTCTGCTGATGGCCCTGCTCGTCGTCCACCACCTCGGCTTCTCCCGTGCCACCCTATGCCATATGTGTCTCACCCGGCCCAACACCGAGCACAGCTCTCCACAGCACCAGTAATAGTCTTCTCACCAGCACAAAATTACTTAATTTTAGAAACGGGATGTGGCTGAACGACTCGTTGTGGGTGAAGTACCATCCGAATTGCGCCCTCCCCGGACGGGTAGGTTTGAAAGATGGAGTTGGTTCTGGTGCGTTAACGGGGGGGGGGCTCACCCATCCGTTTCTCGGCTTTCATGTGTCCTAGAGAGCTTTAAAGTATACTAAAATGCTCGCCAGAGCAAGGCGGACATTTTGGTATACTGTACAGGTTCTTTTGGCATTATCGGGGGGATGATCGAGGAGGGATAACACTTTTTTCTAAGGTCCCAATTTTTCGAATATAAATCGAAGAATGTTCTTCGCAATTTTTTGCTATTCCTAAACTTAAAAACAGACAATATATTACTATTAAAAAACGCTTACTATAACGTTACTAGGCATTTCGGGAATTATTTTCGGGCCGCTATTGGAAGGCGTTTTTGCAGGGTGTACCAACCTGTACTCGGCCGGGCTACTGCGTGGCCTTCGTCATCACCCAAGACGGCCAGACGACGCTGGTGAGGTTGTGCAAGAACATGGATTGGGATGGAGGCTACGGAGAGTACGACACCAGTAAGCGCGTGAACTGTTTGCCTGGATCACGGTTACTCGGTTCTTTTGCATTATCGGGGGCAGGACTTTTTCAAAGGAATAGGAACGATTCTAAACCGTAAAAACCTTGCACTTTATAAAAAACACCAAAACTCTCGGTAATGCGATAACCCCCCCCGATAATGCAATGAAACCGGATATTTTAGCAAAGTACTGGGTGGCGAAATGCGAAGGCGACCTGTGCAACCACTGGAATGAAGAGGCCGTCAAGGCAAGGGCGTCCACTTCTTCGACTCCGTACCTCAGTGCCATCAAAATCGTCGGCCTCTTCTTGATCGCCCTTTATTAAGATAATATCGACTGGCCGTCGGTATTTTATTACATTTCCTTGCCTGTGATTTTCCTATTGACAATTGCGAATAAAGCTTCCAAGCAAAATGGTTCGAAATTTTTTTTTTAAACTACCAAGGGGGATCCTTAGGTCCCAGCTAACGTTTCAACATCGTTTCGCAGACGTTGACCACTAGCTTTTAAGCAGCGAAAAATTCTACCCAGGTAGGTGCGGTTCATTTCGAAACTCCGTTAACTCAGAAACGTGGGCTTGTTATTATTTTCAATAGCTTTAAAATGCGTAAATTCCTCTGCGATACTCTTTCCGAGTTCAAAGTCGAAAGCACCACCTGCGAATGCTGACGTAATGATCTCTGGCAACGTGGTAGGGTGCCGTTTTTCGTTGACAACCATCTGGGGGGATCTCCCCTCACAGGCCGAGGGATATCCCCCCAATAGATATGCCCCGAGGGCCTATCTTTCCCAATCCCACCACGTGGGCTGACCTCGATCGCATAGAGAGAAAGGAGGCATAATGGCGTCAACCAGGTGGTCGGGGCCGAAAGGGACCGAAAATTATTGCAAAATGGAATGCCGCGACGGTGTGTATGTATAAAAAATCCTATCTAAATGCGGTACGACACATCAATTCGTCGACGAAAGAAAAATTAAACCCGGTTTGTCAGAGTCGAAAGAGCCAAAAATCGATAAATTGTAAATTCCAGCATTAATATCGGATAAATCGATTTTCCGGACACAGTTATTTCATGGCGTAATTGGTTATCTGGCAGCTCTAAAAAACGATTACGCGCAAAAGTTTGTTAAAAGAAGCAAATTCAGGCCGTCAAAAATGAGCACATCCAAAAGTAGTTGTTTATTAAAACCTAACGCTTTTCTATGCATAATAAGGCAAAATTTTTCGTTCCTCTCAACCACCTTGGTGCTGGGAGCCAGTTGAGACATGTGCCATATGATATTGGTTGTTGTAAAACGTGAGTCGAGGGGGAACACCCCACTGGTTTCACTGACTCGCCACTAGTCCATTCGCCCCGAAAGAAATTCCCGAAAAATCTACACGACTTTATTCTGGACAACATGATGTGCTTATACCTTTGAACCATTTCTCGGAGAAAAAGTCGCTGGAATGAGCCGGATTCCCGTGCTTCACCAAGAAGATCATAGGTAAGCAAAAAAGGGTGTTTTGAAGGAGGAAAGAAAATGAAAGCAGGGCCAGGGAATCGCCCCTCATCAATCCTGGCAAGTGTTCATGCTACCTTCTGCCGCTTCTATAATTTTTCTAAAGGGCTGCTCGTCAAGACGGAGCCCGAAAATATCCCCGACGGCAAGTTGAAAGCCGTTCAATACACAGTCTGATTACCCAGTCGAAAATTAATCTTTTTTCAAGTTCACGAACGAACACTCCAGAGCCCAGACTACACCTCGATCCTCTAAACGCATATGAAATCCCCGAAAATTCCGATCCAGTCCCATTGACACCTGGTTGGGTGGGGGTGGCAGTGGGTGGGGGTGGCAGTGAGTGTGGGGGCACCAATTGGCAGTACAGGCCGCGAGAGTGGCGGCTCGAATTACAGGCTTCTCATCTTCGATATAGGCTTCTCTCTATCTCTCTCACGCTCTCTCTCTCTCTCCCGCTCTCTCTCCCTCTCTCTCTCTCTCGCTCGACCCAAATTTCTCTATTTGCAGAATGGTTGCCGAATAAACCGTCTTATTGGGGGCTCCAGTCGAGTAATCCCATCCGAATAAACGTTGTTACGACTTTTTGGCTGTAAATGACATTTTATGTTGTAGTTTCTTGGATACAGAACCCTTTAAGTTCACCCAAAAGCTATAACAAAATTTCAGGGTATCCCGAAAGAAAGCCAGATCAGCTGTCATTTCCAAGAAGTCCTTATTGATGTGTCCGGATCCGGAGAAAAGTAGGTAGTATTATTTCTTTCTCTCTCTTACTTTCTCTCTCTCGCTCTCACTATATCTCAAATCCAGCTAATTTTACAGAAATCCGCTGCTTTTCGGCACCCCCAGGCGACGATGACGCTTCGGAAGTAACAGGGAGCTCGGTAAGTACTTTAAAAATGGAAAATCTAATGAAAAAGATACCAAATTTATTAAAAAATACAGTATACATTATTTTTAGTTGGAAGGTCCGTCGACACCGAAAATTCACACTGAACCGGGTACAAAGGTAAGGCTACAACGCTTATTTTCCTAACAATTTCAATTTCTGCGATTTTTTTACTGTATTCTGTCTTTCTTTGCTATTAATTAATACAAATAGCCTGCATACAAACTAATAATTTAGACAAATTTGCGCCACGATTTTTTGCACGATTTAATTTCCATAAATCCCGCATTCGATCATCCCCTTGCTTACCCCAAATCCCATAAGTCCCCTCCGCTCTAGCGGAGCGACGGCTATCGTCATTTGCATCTTGAATGAGGGCCTGTTTTCTATAAGCGATCGACGGGGCAGATCGACAGATTCATCTAGCTGAAGGCTTTTTGGCTTGCAGGATCAGATGCTTACTGTCGTATTGGGTCACGGATTGTAAGGGTAGTTTTGGTCGTTCTTTCTCTCTCTCTCTCTCTCTCTCTCTCTCTCTCTCTCTCTCTCTCTCTCTCTCTCTCGCTCTTTGTCTAGCTAGCTGTCAGAATGACCGGTTGGCGCGGTGGGATTCCATCGGAAAAAACCCCATTCTGTAGCCATTCCAACATACCAGTGGATGGGGAAGGTTTCATACGTACTCGTTTCGCTGGGAATCGTGCGCTGGCGTAGATTTTTTTGTTTTCGCACACTACCAGGACTGATAGATATAGCTAAATTTAATTTTAAGTACATCGAACGCGATCAGATTTGAATCCCGGCCCCTTTAAAGCAACCCATTTTTTGGATATGGGTTTTCTATACTTTTTAAACCGTCGGCGGCACGCAACGCACGCGTGGCCTAGATATTGTGATAAGAGACGCGACCTTAAGTTACGTTACGCTGAGTTACGCGAGCTTACGCTAAACTACGTTTCCTATGTTACGTTACGCCACATTGCGCTACGTTACGCACGATACGCTATGGTACGTTACGGTGCGCTACGCTACGCTGCGTTACACTCCGCTAAGGCATGTACGCTACGTTACGTTACGCTAGGTTGCGACAGGTACGGTGGTACGTTACGTCACAGTAGTACGTATCGGCATATCGCGCAACTGTCCAGACCTAGTGGGGGCAAGGGGCGATTGCCTTCCCAATCCCTTTTGATTTAGGGAAAAGCGTAGTTTAGCGTACCCGTTCCACTCCAGCCAATAGCAGGCCCCCTTTCGTGTTATATTTTCCATGACGCGTCACATGTTCATGATGGGCGATAAATCCCCCCTGGGGGCCAGCTTGAGATCGGTTCTTGCTTTTCGCGGCTTTTCGCGGCTTTTCCGTGCCCTTGGTCCAGCATTTCCTCCCCGGCCACACGGCTGTTCTCCTGCTCAAAAGTCTCGAGTCCCGACTCCCAGCTGCTGCTCGCCGTGCTTTTCAATAGATACTTTCTTCACTCCCATTTCCCCAATCGGTTGATCGTCTTTTTGGAGTCGCAACCAAATTTATGGCAGTCGTTCGTTAGCCGTTTCGATTTTTGCGGGGTTGCTTGGGTTTCGCGGGCAGAATCGAGCGTTTCGAGAATTTACCTAGATTTTTGCTATTTTTTTAAGCTTTTTTTAGTTTTTGAGCTTTACATGACTTAATCTGATCAAAAATAAGTGTGCTTTAGCATGATGGGGGGAAAGGTGTCGGGCACAACTTTTTGCTAGATGCCTGATGAAAATCTAACTGTATTTCAGGGTGAAAAATTATTTCAGAGTATTAAAAACCGTTGAAAATTCGAAATTTTGGTTGAAAATCATGTTTTTTTTCTGCATCGTTTCACTGAAAATTGGTAACGTTTTTCCGCTATGGATTGCAATAACCGGTTTTGAAACATTTGCTCTTAGCATAATTCAATAAATCGGAAAATCCCCCACGATAAGACAAAAGCACCGAAAATCCCGGCTTTGTGATATTTCTTGGCAAAGTTGCAAGGCAAATTGCGCATCTTGTGGGAGTTGGTGTGCGAAAGATGTTTTTTTTAGGATTTAACAGCTGATTACTACGCTATTCTTAATAAATAATTTGTTGAGCGCTTAGCAGCCGCCCTTGGATTACTTGAATTTATTTTTGGACCTCCGAGACGCAAAAACGGCAAAAAAAGCACATTTGGAGAATTTGCCTAAATGTTTTCCAATTAGTGAAAGTCTTCAAAATCTGTACAATTCGGCAGCTTCGAAATTGCTATTTTTCTCCGGTTTTGAAGAGCTTTTTAATGGTCTAAAAATCATTCCCATCCGATACTTCTTCGTCTAGATACTGAAGTTTTTTTAACGAGCCCATTCGTTTATTATGAAGCTGTTAGGCTTCCCCCTTGGCATTCGGGTAGTGAGTGTGTTTGGTAATGATTTCTTACACACTCCCCCCCCCCTAGATATTTGGCCCTTCTCCCCCTGTGGCTGTCGATATTGGCCATCCAGCAAATACTACCTCCCCTCCCCCCATTCCTCTCTACCCGCCTGTCACTTTTTTATCGGTCTCTTGGTATTGGCCGGGACGGGACACCAGGATAACCCATTTCTTTTTTTCTGCTATCAACCTTCATTCAGGGTTGTGACGTCGGCAACTGTGTCAGTTCTGCAGGGCGGTAGTTGGTCCCCTGATAGGTACTACTGGGATACCGTAGCGTTCAAGGATTGCCAAAATTCCACTTTTTCCCATACTCTAACATTCACTACTCTTTCCCTCACTCGCTCTCTCGCTCTTACTTCCCCCTCTCTCTCTCTCGCTTCTCTCTTTCTCGCTCGCTCTCTCTTTCTTGGTCTTTCGCTCTTTATCTTGCTATAGATGTTGTCCAAAAAACTAGGTCTCGACAGCTACGCTCGGCTCCAAAAGACACGTCTAACCTCCTCGGTTTTTGCTCCATAGTTCG